ATACTTTAGGTTAAGGTCTTCTTTTAAATACATGCAAGCAAAAAGCATTGGGGGTATCTATATTAAGCCTGACAAAGTACTTAACGTTTAATATATTGCATGGTTTGTTTTGGGACTTGACAATCCAACCCAGTCTCACAAAAAAACGTGTAATAACTACGTTGGTCCACAACGTAGGACGTAGTATTTCTACAAAAACGCCTCTGAAATTGTATGTTCCCTAGGTTTTTTTTCACCATTCATTCCAATGGCTGGCGTCTATGTCACGTGATCTTCAAAAAAAACATGGCCGACCTTCGTTTTATTCTCGGTGGAAAATGCCTATTTTAAAGTTAGTTTGGCCATTAAAATACGTTTTGATGCAAGAAATATGAGTTGTTATTTCAGATTATGTGTGCAGTGGATGTACATGATCTTTAGTTTGCTAGTTATTACGAAGATTACTTCAGGAAATTGTGTCCATACAACGTTTTCATTGTTACCAAGGTGGTTGCTAGGGACGCTGCTATCGATATTATTTATGTTATGTTGTGTAACTCTTTAATGGTGTTATCTTTATTGCTACCCCCTTCCCCGTCAATGTATAGTGTTGGTCCACAGCGCAAACGTATTAGTTTAACAAAATCCGCATCTAAAATTGTGGCATAGATACGTTATTTCCCCCTGTGCAATTCCAGTCTCACATCTCACATCACATCGTCATTAACAAATACTGGAAACATACCGAAAACATTCGCGCACTGCCACTCCAACATCCAATCACAGAGCTTGAGAACTAATCACGGGGTTTGTCAAACAGAGCACATGGTGTAGTCCAGAGCCCTAGAGAGATATCTCTATCATCTATTATCTCTCTAGGGCTCTGGTGTAGTCCTAAACGATAGCTGGGGATTCTGGGTAGTGTAGTGTCTTCTGCCATCCTTTACTCCGAAAAAATATGTGTTTCTCCGAATCGAAGGGGGAAAATACAAAAGCATTGCACACAATTTAAACCGATCAATGCTGTGTAGTTAACAAGGATACTCTGGTGTTTTTTAGTCGATGAGTGGTGCAGATATCACTGTAAAATCAATCGACAGTAAGGGGAATACTTACTTCCGGGTGTACAATTCTCCGTTATCCAATGGGAATGGACGCTCACATTGCCTTTAAGGGCAGCCGACACAAACGATTGCCGTGCTTCCATGAGCGTCAAATCCCACCGCAGATGGGAATACATTGCAATCAGTTGAAAGCTATTGGCTGGGGACCCTGACCAAGCGTCGCTCCTGGACGTTTATGGAGTGAGAGTGTGTTGGCCTCGGCGAGGGAGAAAAAGAGCCAGAGCGTCCACAGCGGAGAATAAACAGAAGGGCAACCATGGCAACCATGTGCGGGAAGTCTTCTTCGCTGCTTTTGTGGCAGGACTACAGCACTACTTACAGGCCTGGCATATGTACTACAGCGTCTCCAGCGCGGACACGTTTCTGGTGCCTGTTGCGTGTGGACGGAAGACTTTTTTGATAACGATTGCGGTCCGTTTGCGTTATCGTCCTCTTGTGGCCGGGACTTAAGCTCTGAGCCACAGTTATTAGGTTTTGTGCTACTATTTACCGCCTATAACTTATTGACCTTGATCAACTTGACATCCGGTTTCGCTATGAGTGGTCGCATTTTCGAGAGCTCCCGCTTTGGAGGTATTCCTCACGATTTTTTACATATTTCATCCTCCTGACAATATGGATTATGGACTCCTACCTCAACTCATCAATGAGGCAACATCACTTAGAGAAGGAGAGTAATGAAAGCGGGGATAAAATGAACCACAATTACTTTTACCTTCTCAACGGCTGGGAAAGGAAACACCTCGCTTTTGGAAGTGCAAGCATTCATGCATTATTAACTGCAAACCCGACGCGAAAGTACTTACCCCCATCAGGCAAACTAGACCGAAGAAGTATGATCGTCTTGGTCTTATTGTTAGCGGGAGACATCCATCTGAATCCGGGCCCGGTGCAGACAAGAAGCCAGTCCTGCAGGCTCGAGGAGCTAGCATCACAACTAGCATCACAACTAGCAGCCCTGCTGGTCTCTGACAGGAGCAGATTGCAGGTTGAAAAAACCCTCAGCTCCGAGCTCGGCAGAATCTGCACCTGGCTCGCCGATAATAAATTATCATTACACCTGGGTAAAACAGAGTCCATTCTCTTCGGTTCGAAACATAATCTCAGCAAATCCGACGACTTCTCAGTTGCAGTGGGTGACATTATTGTCACAAGTAAGAAGGAAATTACATACCTAGGATCTATTCTTGAGGCAAACCTCTCCTGTGACAAAATGGCATCCAATGTAATACAAAAAGTCAATCAAAGAACTAGATTCCTATACCGGATCTCCTCTCTGGTAAACAAAAACACCCTGAAAACTCTGGCAGGAGCACTCATTCAAGGGTACTATGACTATGCTTGCACGTCATGGTACCATAGCACCTCCAAGGCGCTAAAAATAAAACTTCAAACATCGCAAAATAAACTGGTCAGACTACTGCTTGACCTTTCATCTAGAACCCACCTCACCTCTGCCCACTTTGACAACCTAGGACGGCTTAGAGTAGACGACAGAGTATAGCTACTTGCAATGGGCCTGGTCTACAAGATCCACTACACCTCTATGGTACCCATGTACATGGTAAAATTCTTCCCAAAGGTCAAGGAATACCATGATCATAACACCAGAGGGAGCTCCACAAATCATGTGAAACCCAGATTTGGCACAAAAAAGGGGGAATACACGTTTCGCAATTATGCCACATCAAGGTGGAACGCTCTTCCCACAACTGTAAAGGAAAGTAAAACTATACTTACCTTCAAAACCTCTCTTAAAGAGCACCTTCGGGGGAGAGCATTGCAAAACTGGCCCCGGTAATGGTACAAATCTCAACCTGTCGTTCAATGGACAGCTTCCCCCCCCCCATCTATGTATATACTCGCATTTTAGACTCTGTTACTAACTGTATATCTGTAGACTTGGTATGTCTTAAATGTCCGGTTAGGATGTATTAGAACGAAATCTAAAATGAAAATTGTAAATAAGCAATCTGTATGTAAAAAAACACCTGTATGTAAATTGTAAATAAGCCATCTGTATGTCAAATATGTCTTATATGTCTTAAATGATATGATGAATTGGAAATGGGGGACCCTGATGTAAACAAGACGAAAGTCTTTCTCTGGTCTGCATCCCCTTAACAATTGTATGTTTTGAGCTGTACTGTACTGTACCCAATACAAGCTGTTAATAAAGTTGTCAATCAATCAATCAACCTCTCTGGAACCAACACAGTTTGTATTAATTGTTAATCATAAATGCTTTTGACATAATCGATTATAGTTTTAGAAGAAAATAATTGATCATATTGAGTCCTTCAATCACAACATCTAAAGATACACATTTTATTTATGTTATTCTGACATTGGCTACTACATCTAATTCATGGTACCTTAAGTTATAAGGATGCTTGTGTGGTCATGTGAAGCCATTGAAAATAAAGCTAAACCTCTGATACTGATTTCACAGATCTGGAAAAGTTGCCTTTAACTACATTTGTTAGCCTACTATCTGTTGATTTAAACATGTAGAAAACCCCAATACCATCTCTTGACGTCTCACATTGTCACTTTATTTTACAGCAAAGCTAGCAAAAATATGGATGAAGATATTTTTAGTTTATGGCTGGCACTTGAATAATGCTCATGTGTTTATCTCACTGCATGTGTGTGTGTGTGTGTGTGTGTGTGTGTGTGTGTGTGTGTGTGTGTGTGTGTGTGTGTGTGTGTGTGTGTGTGTGTGTGTGTTGTACAACATTATATATTGTTATTTGTTTTAGCAACTGACTAAAATTAGGTTTTTGATACTTAATTGTATTTAATTGTACAAAATGTGTCAACATTAAATACCTGTTTTATTCAATGTACCAAGACAAACGCCTTTTTTATTTTTTATAGATAGTAAAACAATCTTATATTAAATAAAGTAAACATGTTTACATTTGCAGTAATGTCTATTAAATAGTTTAAAGTAATAGGCTATAATTAATGTATTTTAATTTACCTTATCATACTTTAAACATATTTACAGTTTTCTACTCCAAAAGTAATTTACTTTATCATGCTGTGTACACTACAATTACAGCAGTTACACTTTAAAAGCAAACTCATAGAAAAGCTGTTTTTGTTTATCTTCTGAGTGGGGCATTTCAAAGCAGAAAGGCCAGCCATCGCATTAACCTCTGATATTTGGTGTATGGTGGTTTATAAGTGGTTGATCTGTGCTAACCCAAAGCCGTTCTGAGAGAAACATAATGTTGATGGGGATAAAGGTCATCTTTAAAAGGGAAACATCTGAATTGTTTTGTAGTTCCAAACATGCAATATACGTAATAACATGAACAATATACAGTAAACCATTTCAAATGTTACGGGTTGTGGTGTGGTGTTATTGGACTGTCACATAGTCTAAGGCCCATAAACATCTATTAATATGTCATAATAAAGGTAAGACTTATTTGATTCTCATTTAGATATGCAAGGGTAATCAATGTTGTATTGTATAAGAAGTCCAGCTGGAGGTTGAACTAGCTAGCTAACTAGCTACTTAATTGACAGTGGTACCAATTTCTCCTTAGAAGTTATAAAATAACAGCTTACTTTCCTGTCACAAATCAGTTTATAAAGGATACTAAATTCGTTTCATGCACTTTTGGAAATGGCCACAAGATGTCCTCATCCCATTGAAGGAATTTAGGCTGTCAGCTCCTCGTGATTATTTATTACTTTTTTATTTGAAAACATAACATATAAGCTGCTCCTGCTGCTATTTAACCACAACAATATGACTCATAAATCTTAACCATACTAAAATAAAATTCTCCACTTTGTTTCTCTCTCTCTCTCAGACACACTCACACACACCATTTTGCCGACGGAAAACCCCATGCCACTCCCCTTTAAGTGAGCCAGTCTTCTCGGGTAGCAAGGGAGCCCAGCAGGGTACAGTTTCAAAGAGAATCGGTCATAATGTAAATATGACCCATTCATTAATCCCAGTCAAAGTCATTGATTTCAGAGTGTGATCAGCCGATGCCTGCATGGTGGAGTCTTCATCACCGGGACCGGATCACAGCCCCCCCCTGCTGTCTCTCCTGAGAAGGTGAAGCCTTCAGAATAACAGCTCTGCCGCTATGAGACGAATAACGGGCAAGACGAAGGATGAAACTTTGATCGAGCTGCAGAGCGCGACAGAATCACAGACAGGAGGTAATTAAATAAATATGCACTTATTAACATTTAAGTGGGGTCACGAGGAGCTTTATATATTGTGCCAAATTTGTCGAAGATGCTTTCTACTACTGCTTGTAGTAGCTAATCTGGCCAAGAAGATGACAGTATGGTGTCCTTGACTCTATCATGAACTGCAGTCTGCTTCGTACTTGCTCATGTCCCTAAGAACTGATCATTAAATTCAAACAGGCCTTTAACTAATGTATTCGTACATTAAAGTACTCTAAAGCGAATATAGCAACCTATATAGAAATAATAGGATTACATCAACATTTTTGTATTATGTATGCAAAACATGTCAGCACAAAATTCCAAGTGGTAGCCTACCACATATAATGACATGTTTGTGTTTTGCCCACAGCATAATAAATTACATTTTTAGGGTTTATAGCTTGTTTTGTTTTACTTTACTTTTTGACTTGGTTCCCATTGAATGAAACTAAAAAATGGTTTTCTTGCAGACAGAAAAGTTAATACAGCTGATGTATAAGACGCATCAGAGCAAGTTAGTAGCAATCCCATGACAAGCCAGGAGGCAAATGGATCAAAACAGACATGCTGGGTGTTTTGCTTTGAATCACAGGAATGTCCCAAAAAACTGGCACGTCATTCTGAAAGGCAGATTTCAATAAGATTTGTAGAATCTGGGTTAGTTAAAGACAAACTGCAATTTAACATCATCACTGAAAAATTGCACAATTTCAATACAAAATGTGACAGAATATCCCAGGTAAATTGTTCTTCCTTTCTGCTTTCTGTCAAGCTTTACATACTGTCACATAGTGTCTACTCCTAATTAGATTGCCTTCTCTGAGATAGTCATGCTTCACAGGAAACCACTTTCAGTCTGTGATTTCCGACAGTTTGGCAAGAGTGCATCAGGCGGTTGACAGTCTGGGGAGTTTAGCAGCTCGGTTTTGCTCTCAACCACCATGTTTCAGTGTCTCAGGGGACACCAAATGAGTTAAATTCATATTTTCTTCTGTCATTGAACTCCATATGTCAACGTAATTGAGGTCTGCGGCCTTTTAAGTCACGCATACTGCTTCCCATAGCCTTAATAACGGCTTGTGAGGATGATGTTTCTGTGGTAGCATTCTTAAGCAGCAAAGCTTCAAAACAGAGAAAAATGCACTTTGCTCTTATATCCCCCCAGTGTGACAAAAGACAATTTAATCTGTGTTAATATTTTAAATGTTGCACATCTACACAGACGCCCTGCAAAACTTGAATTGAATTACTTGGGATTTTGTAATTAAACAATATATTTCACGACCGGAACTATGTTTTTATTGTCGTATAAACCTAAGAGGGATGGGCACTTCTTGTGCATGATATGAAAAATGAAGAAATAGCTCTATCAATAATTAGAATGGAAATTGACTGTGGACACATTTTTTTTTACATTTTGTATTCACTTAAGATATCTAATTAACAATGCATTGATCCAAAACCTTTGTTATTAGTTCTGATTAGGAGGAAGCTGATTAGTCTAATGTATAGTTATAAGGTAATAGCTTTGGGACAAATTGCTGATACACTATTTAGATTTAGAAACTAAAGTTAGTTTGAACCTGTTGAATTATCTCCATATTTATATGTACAGTATCATATTCAAAACTACAGCTGGCACAGATGGCAAATACTTTCATGACACAGGAAGTTCATGACGTGTATTGACTGACCATATCTTTTGACCCCTGCTTGTTCCTGTGCATTTTAGAAAGCCTGGTTCTCTTGTGATAAGAAAATGTGTCCACTGGGTTTTACCGAAGAGGCTCAGAGAATGAGAGACTAATGTTTGCATTTAGTCCTGAAACGAAATTATTTTTGTAGAATAACTGGACCTAATGGACAATTAAATATCGAAGAGTCCAAATGCCCATTTTAAGCATCATTATGATAAGTAAGCAATATGTATCTCAAAAGCAATTGTTACATTAAGATGAGTTACAGCACTGTTATAATTGGGATACAGATATTTATTCTATAACATAGTACTGTCAACCTCATATCATGTTTTTATAATCAGCTTTGAGAAGTATGTTTAGGCCTACATAATTGCTGCATTAAGTGTTATTAAATTGATTAACATTTTGTGCTTTAGATTAATACGTTTAGGAATGCAGTTGAGTGAATTAGTTATTTTAACATTTTAATTATTTCAACATTTTAACAGAATAAAATGTATCAGCTTAACTGTAATTACAATCTGTACATTATGTTAAAAAAAAGATAATGTCTAGCCCACTGGTATCATAACCCTGCATATGTCTAGCTATCCGCACTGCATCACTGCAAGATCATTAAAGTGAAAGAAAAATAAAGGTGAACTATTCCAAAGCGTTCACATTGAATCAGTGTTGAGTGAACTTAATGACATCCCAACCTGATATTTTCCATATGTAAATCCCACACTCTTTAAATGGTTATCAGTGAGTTGTTCATTAAGACGCGTGCCTGTTTATCATGGATGAGCTGAGTGTTAATAGACTGCTCTTGTTCTGCAGAGGCTTTGTTCTGGCTCTTATCAGGGCAGACCTTCAGCCACAGTGAAACAGAGAGAAAAGACAGGAAAGGGTCCGTCCTCACCTCCATATATTCACTTGTGTGTGTTTGGAGTGTATTACCTCCATCACCGCTGCCCAAACACTGAATTATAGACAGCCATGATAACAGCAGGATGAACACCAGATGCACTGCTACACAGTAAACTATTATACTGCAGGTACTTGGTGTCATCCTCATAAAGTTTATCTTTTTAATTTGACTCAAAGCTTATCTGTAGCAGGTTACATTTCTTTTGGCATTCATCATGGACAGTATACCATTCATTCTTATCATATGATAGTTACTCATACTTTAAGGGCTTTATATCCATTTAAGGTGATCTCGCTCTGCTCTCTGCAGCCATGGCTGATGAATTTATCTTCCAGTCAGAGGTGAAACAGAGCCAAAGGGTTGCTATGGAAACAGGCATTGTAATTGCATTAGCCCCTTTGATCGAGGCATGATACTGAATAAGACAAGGGGACAACCAGGCTTTTTCCTCCCAACAAACTACAAGAAAGCTAGGGTATTACTAGGGCAGTATTTATAGCATTCTTTGGGATCATAATGATCTTTTTCAACCTTTTCTTTTCAGATTATTTACAAATATTGTCTAAGTGTATAACATGGTTTTCCATGAGCATCCTCTCTGCCTTGGTCTGTTTGCCTGGCCCTCGGGTACGGACATTAAACATTTAAGGGAAAACAAACACTCTCTGCACTTGCCATGTTTCATGTAAGCTGTTTGTGAAACAGCTGTGCCACAGGGAACTATATTTGTCAGATAGTAATACTGTATCTCTTAATAAAACGTTCCCTAATCTGGATATAAAACAATTGATATTACAGAATTAGGCATGCTTCTTGCCAACCAACACAAATCATCAACCAAACAACCAGGCCAGAGGCTGCATATCATGCAACCATTGAGCAACTCTCTCTGTCCTAATCTGCAATGACCAGTACTCCATGGCAACGCTTATCCTCAAACATGCCTTTCTCAACAGACTTTCAAAGATATCAAACATGGTATTTTATTCGATATTTTGTCTTATCAAGCTATTACATTATCTCCTCTATCCTGCACACAATGTCTATTGTGTTTTTGAACTTTGCAAGCTTTCTGGGGATTGTCAGGAACCCCCCTCCCCCTTTTGGACTACAACATCCTGAAGATAAGAAAGGACAAATGTTTATTTCACATTATGATACAAGCCTGATGGTGTTGTGAAACCAAAACACAACCCACTCTTCAAACACATTACTTACTAAAAGATATATATATGTTTCTTCATCAATTGGTTTTCTCTCCCTACTCTTCAAGATCCATACGTAGTATGTGCACATTACTTGCTATTGTTTGGTATTGTATTACAGTGAAATGTTTGTCAGTCTTGTTGGGGAAATATTTTCCTAGGCCCATAACTTCGACCCAGTTTATCAGTTTGTACTGACCTCACTGAGCTCAGGCACCTGTAGCCTTGGGTGCTGTGCTCTGTGTTTTGTCTCCCTATTCCTGCCTGTTGGCGTCGGCTGATAGGTGTCATTGTGCTTTGCCTGTTTTATCTTGTTATGCACAATGTTGATTATTCTCTCAGAACCAACTAACTACATGGGTCTGGGGTAGAGATCTTCAGAATTGGTTTGGCATCCGTTGTGTCAACTCGTGGCGCACGACATGTCTTGTGAATTCTCTGACCGAAGCTCCAACATCAGTGTTTGCCATCAAAGTTCCTGCTCTCTGAGTCCTGTCTCCATTGCTTCAGAAGTTTCCATCACAAGTCTAATTTCACCGCAGATCCATTAAGTAATTGTTTTGGTGCTATCAACCACATGATACTATCCTCATCATCATGATGTCAAGATTCTTTCAAGGCAACATGGACGAAAAATAAACTGGGCTGATGATGATAATGTGATATGATTGAAAGCCCTTGAACAGCTTCTAGATAGACCTTGAGGTGAACATTATTTGAATTCTCTTGTGTTTTCTAGGGCTCCAATATCAAAATTCGTATTTGTCAGGAGTAGTTTATATATTTTTCTTTTTTGTAACTACTTAGCTGATGACAGGAAATGTGGGGAGAGAGATAGAGAGGATGGCTGAGACCCGGTTTGAGCTCAGGATGTTGTGGTTTCACTGTAGCATGGTACGCCTGCTACACAGTTCACTCACTTTGTGTTTTGCTATGAAAAGTTATGTCAGAATATTGCTTTACCATTTCCTATGTGAGTCCCAGTTATATTTGCCTAATCTCCCTCCCACAATCAATACAGGCACTCATCTGGCTGTGTGGGGAAAGACTTTCCACCCATTTTATTTAGACCAGAGTACTAACCTGTATCACATCAATATTTTAGACAGACCAGCTCACAACCCACCCTGCACTAATACACCTCGTGCATAGAGGGAATATGTATAGGCGCTCTGTGACATGTTTCAATCACTTCCCTTCCAAAAAGTGTAATGATACAGAGCTGTTGTTGGTAAGCCTTTGTTGTTTCAAGGATCTGAGCTGTTTCTGATTGAGAGGAGTAGGCAGGGCAGTCTAGCTGAGTGCCAGCCTCGTGGGGGAGAAGCACAAGAGCTGTTAATGCTGCTTTTTTCAGACAGTAAACACCCAGCTGTACCCAGCTTGCTTGAGTCATAGTAAAACTATCTGCTTTGTTATTTAACCAGATTCACCCAGGGCATCATCAATGCTTGGTTAGATGCTGAGCTACAGAGGTAAAGCCCTGGTCTGATCACCACAAGATATAATGTATTGCTGAGCTTTTATGTTGATTACTTTCTTGCAATTTGCACAGTAAGTAGGCCCTGTGTATTGTTTGTTATTGTGAGACTCATTTATGGATTCTGCAATCTTTCAGACTGTCTCAGCAGTTTGTAATCATGCTTTATTCACCTCCCCTGACCCACAGTTTAACACTAACCTGTGTCTGTCTGTCATTTTAAAGATGGTCCTGCAGTGTTGACCGCATTCAGGATAAACCTGCACTCAGGTACGGGCAGATCAGAGGCTTTATGTGACGCCTGTCTGTCATTTTTCACTTCATCCACTTGCTTTCTTATCATGCCGGACTCTCTTCAATAATGTACCATGTTTCTGTCTTAATTCTGCTTCCAGTAAGTCTACTATCAGACCCAGATATATGTGTGTCCGTCTACCCTCCATCTCAGCTTCTCATTGTATCTGCAGAGCCTTTCTCCTGGAAGCTAAGTGTGCTGTGTCTTGTGTTTATCGCCGGAGTGTCAGATCTGCACTAATGCATGCATTCATATATACTGTGTATGAGGCATGTGCACACATAATTTAGGTCAATTGATGCTCGCCACTTTGACAATGTATACTGTGTGGTTTTCATTTGTCAACCATCAGAAAAATTGACTGAGTATTTTCTTTAATATCTCAGGTTGCATTATGCAATTGTGGGCAAGGTTGCAAATCAATGAGCGTGACAGTTTTATGTCAATATTGGATTTTCTCAAGATGTTTCTTCAATGTGATAAGGTACCTTGGTGTTTAAGGTATTCCTGTCTGGTCTGTTACTAAAAGTATATATCACATTATATGTCAATAACACAATATAAGGTTACACATACCATTATCCTATCTATATCGTATATGTTTTATTTTTATAGATATAGATACATATGTAATAAATAGTATAAACTAGAAACAAATTCTAAAGTTAGGTACATTACCTCAATAAATGTACGCAGTTAGTGAACTACTTAGTTACCTCCCACCACTGCTGGTAAACATGTGTGTTTACCTTTGAAGTGTCACAATAAGATGGCAAGTCTATGAGAGGACTTGACTTTGAAAAATATAAATGATGTATTGTTGTGTGTGTGTGTGTGTGTGTGTGTGTGTGTGTGTGTGTGTGTGTGTGTGTGTGTGTGTGTGTGTTGGTAAGTGGATGTGTGGGTGGCTGAGGTATCATCTCACATCCCCAGACAAATACTAGACCCAGGATGTCAGTTCAGATTGAGAGAAGCAGGTTCCCTTTCATAACATTTCTTTTGATGACTCACTGAAGGGGCCGCTCTCCTGCCAGTTACACATGCTGCCATGTAAAATAAAACTGTAGCAGTAAATGTGCATCTGTGAGAGGGCTATGCATCAAATAAGAGGCAGTCGGGCGAGAGGCGGTCTGTTCTGAGGCATTACCACCGTCAAGAATGGAAATCAGGCTGTAGTGGATTAGGTATGGGCATTACTCGGCTAGAAATTAGTGGATTTGCTTAAGTCAAAAGCCTCTGCTGTTCTCGTCTCTGCACGATCAGCACATACCTTATGGAATTGACATATTGGCACCAGTGACCTCTTACTGTGTGATACTGTAGGCCAGTGATTTTGTCAAGGCCTGAGAGTGGAGCTTGACCTATAGAAGTCAACGTATCTCTGCCTCTGTTGCTTCAACTTTGATGATTCATTTCTAAATGGCTCTTGTGAGTCTTTTTTTTACAGAAGTGAAAATAATCCCTGTTAGTTGCATTCACAAGAGTTTATGAAAATATGTAATATGTTTCTATATTCCAAAGAAGGCTAAGGGAAAGAGGTATATATGATGTCACTTATGCTCCTCATAGATTTGGGGCTTTAACATTAGTCTGCAGCAGCTGACCGTTTGTGCACTTTAGTTCCCTCTTAAGTGGTGGTTTAAAGTGCCTTTTTTGATTTAGAGCCCATTAGAGGTTACTGGTAAACTTTGTCCAGTCAGTTGCCATTCTATCTCCACCACTGTAAATATTCAGCAGCTGAAGGTTAATCGGGTAGCTTGGTTTCAAAGTGTGTTTTGAAAGTGCATGAGCTTTACTTTTAGATGAGTTTTAACTTGGTTAATGTTCATCTTTAAAACCATTGTTGCTCAGGTAATTTTGCATGAGTTAATAACTTAAATATAAATATACAGAAGTTTATTTGAAGTTTTTTTTTTTCCTCTTTCGTGCTAGTCACTATTTGCCGTTGCTGCTCAATTCTACAAAAGGCAGGCTGCTCTGTAAAGACCATTCCATTTATTTGTTTCTCCGTGGAATTAGATATAACACACTGCCTGCCCTTGCTTCTGTTTGCTCAAGCCAGGCTCTGATAACTGGCTGTGCACAGTTGGAGTGAGACCTAAAAAGGAAAGGGGGGAAAAAAACGTGTTTAAAAAAAAAACATTTAGCTGCAAATTCAACGATGCTTCCCACAAGCTCACTGGAAAAATCACCCTGGCTCTTTGACCTCTCTACACTTCAGGGATTCCTATAATCTAAATGCTGGCATATTTTCATTCCTTCAGAGTGAGTCTACAGCCCTGTCCTTGAGCGTCCACATGGAGACACCACAGTCCCTCTGAGAGGGTGTCTGGGTTGCAGCTGAAAGAAGCTAGAGATCTTTGTGTCCTTTGTGTGCTCACTGTGTTTCATTAGAAGAGAGGAAAGACTTCTGGTACGGCAGCAGCTCTAAGCCCGGGCCCCTCCCCCTCACTGCTGTATCATGCACGGTCCAGGCTCCCCCACAGGAAGTGCTGCATTCTCACCATGCAGGAATAATAGGGGAGCAGAGCAATGCAATGCTACATGAGCACATTCCCTCTGCCAGAGAGGAGGCAGAAAGGGGAACTGCAGGAATGCTTTGTGTTGTTGTATTACAGATGAGGAGGTGTGTGTGTGTGTGTGTGTGTGTGTGTGTGTGTGTGTGTGTGTGTGTGTGTGTTTGTGTGTGTGTGTGTGTGTGTGTGTGTGTGTGTGTGTGTGTGTGTGTGTGTGTGTGTGTGTGTGTGTGTGTGTGTGTGTGTGTGTGTGTGTGTGTGTGTGTGTGTGTGTGTGTGTGTGTGTGTGTGTGTGCGGCTGCCTTTGTGGCCATCATCCCTCTCTCGGCTCATATAAATGCTTACCAATATGGCAAGAGTCTGCTGATTTATATTGGCCGCTCTTAGATTGAGTAGTCTTAGAAGCATGCGTGGCCATCACAATTACTGGCCGGCTCATTACTCTTAAAGGGATAGTTTGGTTTTGACTGAACCTTCCTATTATATCCTGTACACCACATATCCTGCATGGATATAAACAGAGATTAACCTAGCTTAGCCAAATGTCTGGGATGTAGGTGGGAGAGAAGAAAGGTACAGTTCTGTCTACTTGGTAGGCTAGGGAAAACATATTACTAAAATATTTAAACTAGCAAACAATTACATGTTTTACATTATGTATTGAGCTGTTTTTGCCCCCCTTACATGGGTGTGGATGCATGTAAACAGGAAGGTGAAACAGATGATTAAATGCTGTTCTACTTGCATCTTCAATACATCTGCAACTTTGTGAATATGTATACATTGATTGATTGACTGTTTGAGTTTGGATGCTACTGATCACTTAGCCATCCACTGACTGTGCTTATATATAATAACATTGATATAGAAATATATAGAAGGATAATGCAGACAGACAATTCAAGCTTATTGAACATAAAACGTGTATATTTATTTTGTTAGACCATTCTAAACTGAACTGTCCGATCTTAAGGAACAATCATGGTTTCATTATAATTGTTTTGCTGTTCAAACATGCTACATAATGATTCACTCAAACATATAAACAATAATTATGCTAGGTGTTTGTATTATTACTTTACTCGATTGTCTTATTTTCTATGTTTCCTGTGCATAATGCATTGTTTGTGTTTTTAAATTCAGTCAATATATAACAAATATAGTACAATTTATTTTTTCTTTTGCAGATGAAAATGGTGGCAATAGTGTGAGTTCATTATCTGAAAGAGTGACACTGCCTGGGCATGCAGAGGTAAGTTCCTGTGTGTTTGTTGGTGTGTCAATACGCTTGCAAATCGCTAAGGAAGACGTTTGATATTAAGGGAAACACATTGCAAACATATTAAATATTGTTTGTATAATCAGTACAATGATTGATTGTTTCTCAACCTGTTTCCTGTCTTTGTGCTGAAGAAAACAACTTGCTTGTTGTAGCTTTATATTTAATGTATCAACTAAATAGCAGTATACAACTCTCTGCAAGAAAGTGGATATATAATTCCCCATATTGTTCCTTGGATTATTACATTCTTAAATGATTATTTTTCTGCTACAATCTGATAAACAGTCTTGTATAAGATTACAGGCAGCAGTTTTAGAAGTTTTGTTATATTTTCAAAGCTTGTGTTTCTTTGTAGGCACAATATTGCTTATCCCAGTGTTTATGTTTATGACTGACCCTTTGTCGACTCTCTGCTCTCATCGCTGAGTCACAAGACCTCTGTCTCTCACAAAAGCTGCTCTCATGTCTTGAACAGCGGGACAGAAATAAACTTCACTGCTCAGTCTGGTGGGCCCTCAGCGATACACTCAACCCAACAAGCAGATACTTTATCCATCTTAATTAATAACACTGATTATATTGTGTTTCTGTGATGTATGAGACTATAATTCACTGCATAATGTCTCAGTGATAATCAATCAAACACGTATTTCTTAAATGTTCTCATTAGGTTACAACATGATTGAGTAAACTATAAGGGGCAGCGTTCACGCCCCTGCTACAGGGTTAGTGTGGATGTGAGGGCCTGATGAACAAGCTGGGTGGGGTTCAGAAAACTGCTGACCACACGTGGTACTCCATGCTGTGGTTAACCCTTCATAGTGTAGATATATAAACCCTGATCTACAGTACGTCCCACTCTGAAGAATATTTGTCCATTCTTGTAATTTGCTCATTTCCAGGAAGAGTGCTGTTTTTTAATGACAAGTAATGTTGCTAGAAATATCTAGCATTGAAGTAAAACACAATATTTGATTTTGAACATTACCAGTACATTCCTCCTCCCGAATAAACTATTTTTGTATAATGTCAGGCTGTGATTGTACCAGGTCCATAAATGTCTGTTTTATGTGGTTCCTCTGCAGCCATTGTGGCCTCCCTCTAAACTTTTCTCCCAAAGAAAACAACAGTCTCTTGAAATACTTTTCAATACCATCCCATGCACTGGAGTCACTAGCCTAATATAACTTAAATAACATGTTAATATGACATGATTTTGGGCACAATATGACTTGCCCTCTCTATATAATAATATAAATCGCTTAGTGTTAAAGTCTGAGCTCTTTATGTCTGTCATTGACATTACAACAATTTCATTTCTTGCTTTGTCAGCACCTCAAGTATTGCATTATTATGATTGTCTGTTTGCTTTCGCTTCCCACTCTGCGGGAAAGTTAAAATATGATTATGTGTCTGTTTTTTTAGACAGAAAAGTTGCAACCAAACAAGGACACTGTGTTCTTCAGGGATGGGGTTCGGAGAATAGACTATGTGTTGTCTTATGTGGATGATAAAGATGGAGAAAAGAAACAGGTAAGTGGAACAGACTACGACTTATCAGCATTTTTACAGTGAGTGAATAAATGTGATATTGTCGATCTTACACAGTATATATCCAGAACGGGAACACATGAAAATAAAAGGAAGTGAGATTCCAAAGATAGACGTCATTTGTGGCCGCCAGTGTATGAGTAAAGTAGCTTGTGAGCAAAAACTTTAGTATTTCCAGGTCAATATTTAAAGTATCCTACAGTATTTCACCATATAATGAGAGATACAGAATATTGAAGGAAGGAAATCAGGACCAAAAAAACGTAATTCAGTTAGCTACTCAATACGTGAATCCAGTTTCCTTATAACTGCGCTAATTAATTTTTGCTAATTACGTTTGATTTAATGGTTGTCCGGTTTCCACAATGGCTTCCATAGACTGACTTGTCTTTTACATTTATTGGAAGTGTGTTTTTTTTTTTAGCCTTCATGTGTAGTTAAGGCAGAGGACTGTTCGATTTGTTAAGCATGTTCGAGCTATCATCATCATCACTCTGAAAAGGTCATAGCACAGAGAATTCATTAGTAAAATTCTTGAATGACTGATGTAGGCAACGTTTTCTCTTGGTGCTCCTCAATCAAAGTGTCACATTTTCAACCTTCTTTTATCCAGAGAGATTTCACTAAGAGCAGCTCCTCCTTTCTCAGGCTCACACTCACACATTCAATAACACTGAAGATCACACTGTGCTTATAGGTTAAGTTTAGATTGTATCTCTGAAAAGACAGTTCTGGGTTTCACTGGTTTAAAACTGAGGCAAAGTTCAAAGATCTAAAATGCAGCTTCTGAAAAACACTTTCAGAAACATTTTTAACCTCACTTTAAAGTAGCCATTAGCTTTGCTTTTAATAATGGTCCGGGGACGTTATGTATTTATTTAAATTACAATGTTAGCCTGTTAATGCAGTTGAATGTTTGCCATACTTTTTGGTTAAATGCGGTTAAAATATGTATATATATATATATATATATATATATATGTTTTTTGTGTGATTTAAAAGCACTGCAATGCAGGAAACCTGTTTTACTTATATTATTTTCACTGTGTGATCATGTGGCCAGTCGACATTTTTGCCAGAGTCACATGTTTACCACAGTACCAGACTTTTGGAAAACTGGTCAAGGTTAAGCTTGGTCAGTTATATTGGTGTGCTCCCCCTGTTTCCACTGCGTTTACTGTCCCCTAAACTAATTTGGAAGTTTCTTTTGTGACAGGCAGGCCCCCCTTTTGACCAATCAGTTACCAGACAGAGAAAGCAGAAGCACATCAGATTCTGTTAATTTGCTCTTGTATGGATGGGTAGATGTCACAACAATCATAGACTGTGAGACTTTGTCTGTGGGGCTCTAACGCTGTGTTGTCTGTGTGTTCATCCACAGGAGAGGAGGAGGGAGTTTGAGGCCAACCTTGAGAAACAAGGTCTGGAGCTGGAGACTGAAGACAAATCAGTAAGACATTTCAACCACAGAGTAACAGCACCACCTAGTAGATAGCTTGCAGAGGCACACCATGTTATACAGAAAGAGTCTTAAAGGGATGGCTCAGCATTAGACACATAATACAACCAAGTACTGACAAATTAAGTATTGTTCCTCTCCTCCATCTGTCCTTCTATCAGGACTCCAAGGACCAAAAGACATATTTCCTGAAGATCCATGCTCCATGGGAAGTACTGGCGACCTACGCTGATGTCTTAAAGATTAAAGTTCCCTTCAAATTGAGTGATATCCCCCATGGTCATGATGTCCCGCTGGAGTGGCTCTCGCATCCTTTCCGTCTGCCAGATCACATCATGCGCCCACAACCGGACTACTTTACCTACCCCTTCGACAAGAACAAGACCGACTTCTTCCTTATCAATGACAAGGATACCTTCTTCCCGCCTTCCACAAGAAACAGAATCGTGAGTGTTTAATTTATAAATATGAAAACGCTTTAACAGTATACCTCTCACACTTATTCTGGACAGGCTGACCCTAGGAGGCTATGAAGAGATGTTAGCCTGTTTTTAGCTTTGACTGTTTATTTAGCAAATGTATATCATTTGTTGAATCCTGTCCTTGTTGAAAGGTGTTCTACATCCTGGCTCGTTGCCCGTACTACAAAGAGGGTCGGAAAGAAAGAGACAAGACGGGAATCAAACGACTACTCAGCAATGGGACGTATACGGCAGCCTTTCCTCTTCATGATGTAAGACACTCGAAGAAAAATCATACACATGCAGAGTTTACACATATCAATGTACATTTATGTTAGCATCTCTATTCTGTGAGATTTGTAAAGGGAGACCCTTGTGTCCATCTACTTTAATGTAAGATTCCACACGCATTATTTTTTATGTAATGTATAAGTAACCCACAACCATATTTAAGTAGCCTACTTATAAGTTATACTTCCTGGACCGGAAACAACTATTTTAACACATTATAAACACACTGACAGAATCAGTTCTGTAGCACATTCAATTGGTAGTGTGACTTCTATTTAATTATTCAATACAGGACTTCTATTTGAAGTACATTTGTATAACTTGTTTGTGAATGTTCTCGTTCCAGGGCAGATATATATTAATCAGGACAGGACAAAATTATTTTTTCATCATGTTAATTATTTCTTACTTATAACGTTATAGAATACAACGTTCTTTCAGGGATCTCGTTCTTATATTTTCTAATAACTTTTGCTCAAGAGCCCATATTGCATTGTTTATTTTCTTTTCAGTGTCCATACTGGAAAAGGGCAAGAAACGCTGAATGCGAGAGTGAGCGTTACAACTTGTATAAACACTGGGCCCGGTTCCTCTGCTTTTACAAGGAGCAGCCTCTCAACCTCATCAGGTAAACAAGCAACACCTGATTGCTGCCATCTTTGGTTTTTAAACAAGATTGAACCTTTATTTTACTGAAGCGTGTTTAAAGTTATCTGCAGAGTTAAGTGTGTGGTTTTGGTTTTAGGAAGTACTATGGGGAGAAGATTGGGATCTACTTCGCCTGGCTGGGCTTCTACACAGAGATGCTGTTCTTTGCAGCTGTCATGGGCGTCATATGTTTCACCTATGGAGTGCTCAGTTATGAGGACAACAGGTCAAGGTGAGATGATAAGAATATGACCAAAAAGATATGACCAACTCAATATTAAACCCATCATTTGTATCATAATTGTTGACCACTTATTTGCTAAATCATTACATCATCATTACAAAACCATTCAATCACTCTGCTGCTATTACTGCCTCCACCTTTCTGGGAACACTTTACACAGGGTATGGAAACTGGCTGCTGGGATTTGCTCCCATTCATCCACAAGAGCACAAGTGAGGTTTATTGATGTTAAACAACAAGGCCTGAACAGTTCATCCCGAAATTGATGGCAGGTTGAAGTCTGGGCTCAATGCAGGCCAGTCAAGTTCTTTTAAACCAAACTTAGGATCTTAAAATCTTGATGTACCTCACCGTGTGTGCACAGGGTATTATTTTGAAAGAGGAAATGGCCTTACCAGAAGTCTGGACACAAAGTTTAAGATGTAAGATTTAATCACATCTAGTGTCAAGCCTCAAACCAAAGGTACACATAAGTATTCAAATAAGGTATCAACATACTTTTGGCCATATCATATTCACTTTTATACTTACACATTTTGATATTCCAATGAAATGGTGGCCTGATCAATACTGGATGCTACATTGATATACTGATTTATATTATTTTCACAAAAGATCTATTCTTTCTCTCCTTGTAGCAAAGAAATATGTGACCCCCACATTGGAGGCAGTATCGTGATGTGTCCACTTTGTGATAAAAAGTGCCCTTTCTGGAAGCTCAACTCTACATGTCTCTCATCCTGGGTAAAATGTTACACTTTATATGTTAAAGAACACCAATTTTAAAACAGCGATTAACCTTGAAGTGTATATTTCAAACATTATTTTAATACATCGGTCTTTTAAATGTACTCAGATATCTGCAGTAGATGATGTCCTGCTGGGTCAGCAATATGTCACCCTGTTTATGCCAAGCATGTCACTGAGATACTAATTTTTCCATATTACCTCTTTCAGCAATCCCATCTGTTTGATAATGAGGGAACGGTATTCTTTGCCATATTTATGGGGATTTGGGGTAAGTGTTTCACTGCGTTTAACCTGTGAGGAGATCCCATTTGTTCCCCTTCTGTCAAAGCCTGTTCACTCTGAAGCCTCTACCTCTATCCATACTGCTTGAGCCCAGAACAAGATGCCAGCACAATTATGTTGTTATGTGGAAAGCTTGCCCAGCACACTGAAGGCCAAATGGAAAACTGGCCTCATGAGGAGCAGTTAGCCAAGAAGTGTTTTCACAGTTGAAACGTAAACATAAACTCTCCTAAAACTCAACACAGCCAATCTCTGTTTTTAGTCAGTGCAACATGATGCAGATCCTGAGGTTTCTCCCATTTTTTCCCCCTTAAACTGTGGGGTTTTCTCTGGAAGTTTTTCCTTGTACGATGTGAGGGTCTAAGGATAGAGGGTGTCGTTTTTCTCATACTGATATTCTGAACAATCTGTGCTGTTGTATTTGCTGTAAAGTGTCTCTACTGTAGGCTATTTGTATTATATGTACAGCACTTTGGCTCGACCAAAAATCGTTTATAAATGTGCTATATAAATAAAACCTGATTTGATTTGATAATGGATATGTTTACAAAAATTGATGGAAACATTTGCAGAGTATCAGACTTCTCATTAAACTGCAAAATATATTTGTGAGAGGTGACAAACTGAGATCTTACCTTTTGTTTCCTTCTTTCAAATCTATTTGGCAGTCACTCTGTTTTTGGAGTTCTGGAAACGGCGTCAAGCCCGTCTGGAGTACGAGTGGGACTTGGTGGACTTTGAAGAGGAGCAGCAACAGCTTCAAATCCGACCCGAGTTTGAGATCAGATGCACCAACAAGAGACTCAACAAGATCACTCAGGTGCTTGGAAGAAAACATGAAACATACTATGTACAACTGATTCCATGCTACTTATTTCTAACACAATGCCATTAATAACTGTGTAATATATACCTGGCTGCTAAATCCTAAGAATTGTTACAGGATTTGTATTTTGAAAAGTATTTTTTTTCACTTTATTTTTTTATTATATTTTTTATTATATCATAACTTAGTACTTTTTTTTAACATATGTAACATTAAGCTGTCTGTGGCTCTTTCCTGCTGTAACGATGCAAATGTACCCTCTGTGGGACTAATAAAGGTATTCTGATTCTGAATAATAATCTTCCAGGAAATGGAGCCGTATCTTCCCACCTCAAGCAAGTGTGTTCGCTTCTGTCTCTCCTCTGCCACCGTTATATTATGGGTGAGTGATGATTAAGAGTCTTTATATTGACTATAAAACATAACAATTGTCCCTTTCTAGTCACTTACTGTAAACACTTTTACATGGTTGTCTTCTCCCCACAGATCTCTCTGATTGTGGCTTGTATAATCGGGGTCATAGCGTACAGATTGGCCGTTCATGCTGCCTTCGCGAGTATCATTAAAGACCCCATGAGAAAGATCCAGGTGGTGGGCAGGTTCATCACTCCACAGCTCGCCACTTCTGTCACTGCCTCCTGCATCAACTTTGTCATCATCATGATCCTCAACTTCTTTTATGAGAGGGTGGCCGTCTGGATCACTGACATGGGTAAATAGATTTGATCTGACATTTCCAGAATCAACAGAAGCGAACAATAGAGTCATAATTTTGTCTTTACTTACACTGATCTACTATCTGCAGAAATCCCAAAGACCCACCTGGAGTATGAGAACAGGTTGACCATGAAGATGTTCCTCTTCCAGTTTGTCAACTACTACTCATCGTGCTTCTACGTGGCCTTCTTCAAAGGCAAATTTGTCGGTTATCCTGGTGACTACTCATATATGTTCGGCAAATGGAGCAAACTAAGGAATGAGGAGGTAGGTTTTACTGCCTCTGATAAAACATTACTTTTGTTATTACTAGTTAAAAAATATTACTTTGTATACTTAACGTACATTTTTTGGAAAACATCCCTATTGAAAATTGCAGTTAAGGCAGTATTGACTTACATTAGCATTATGTGTATATACAAAGTCTACTTTTAAGTCATTTCTATGAATTGTCTTTTCATTCAATTAATTTTGATCTTGATTATTATGTGTTATTGCCAATGTAAAGCACTTTAAATTGCCTTTGTGTCTTAAATGTGCTATATAAATAAATGATGAAGAAAGTGCATCAATAAGTGTGTCATGTAAACTGAAACCTCTTTCTGTCCCAGTGTGACCCCGGAGGCTGTCTGATTGAGCTCACCACGCAGCTGGTCATTGTTATGGCTGGAAAACAACTGTGGGGGAACATTCAGGAAGCTCTGCTGCCGTGAGTCCTCCGCCCAGTCTTTCACCTTTTAACTTTTCACCTCAATCACTTATTCACTGCAAAAATAGCAACGAGCCACAACGAGAGAATAGCTTTCAATGAAGGTTTTATTTAACAGCGCATTTTGTTTATTTCGAGTGCATTCATTTTATAAATGTTTTAACAAGATCAATGTTTTGAGTGCTAAGAAAAAATAAATATAAGTTCTAGCTTTGAAGCTTGCCTACTTCAGATGCACACATCCACATAAACCAGTGCTTCTCAATGTGTGGTCCGCGGACCACTGGTGGTCCGTGAGCGCACCCTAGTGGTCCGTGAGTATATTGGTAACATTTCACATAAATTAATTAATTAGAGTTTTTCCGCACTCTCGCGGGAATATCTCCGCAATGGAGCGAGCTTAAGTTTCACTTTAAATTGCATGATATAGCCCCGCGCAACACCTTCATCACACATGTTGCCACTTGTTTGTCCCATTTTCAAGCGATTTGTAATCTGTTCTAGAAAAACGATGTGATTTTGGATATTTGTGGAGTTAGGTGGTCCGCGAGTGTTTTTTTATTGGTTAAGTGGTCCTTGGTATGAAAAAGTTTGAGAAACACTGACATAAACAAAAGTGTTTTACCTCTGAATGTCATGGTATTGCTTCTCTACCCAAAAACAATTTATAAAACCTGCTGAGAAGCTATCAAAAACCTTTTAGGGAAACTTTATAACAACTGGTTACTATACACATCAATTAATTGCAGACTTCTGCAATTACAAATATTATTGCTGCTGTGCTGATTTGTCTGGAAATGTCTTGTTGGCAACAGAAAGTCTCAGCAGTTTGACGTATGTGCTTCTCAACAGGCTGATGCGTAACTGGTGGAGTAACAGAAAAGGACGGCACCATCCTGAGAACCATTCCAGCCGCTGGGAGCAGGACCACGGGCTGCTGAACTTCAGCCAGCTTGGATTGTTTTATGAGTACCTGGAGATGGGTGAGATACTTCTCTGACGTTGTTTACATTACAGATATCATATCTGGACAGAAGAGCCAGATTAATGCATGCTGTCTTCTTGCCATCCTGTTATTACTCTTCCCTGTTTACCACCTCTAACTTTCTCTCTGCTCTGCCTGTTTTTTTCAGTGATCCAGTTTGGTTTCATCACTTTGTTTGTGGCCTCTTTTCCTCTGGCTCCGCTCCTGGCTCTGTGCAACAACATCCTGGAGATCAGGGTGGACTCCTGGAAGTTCACCACCCAGTTCAGACGACCGGTGGCGTCCAAGGCCCGAAACATTGGAGCGTGGCAGGAAATCCTCAACGCAGTGGCCATTCTGTCTGTTGTTACCAATGTAGGTGTTGGGCATGTAGCAGCGTATGTTAATCAGACAAAATGTTCACCATTCAATGTGTTTTTTGTCTAATCTGTGCGAATGTCCTTGTTTTCATTTATGATAAATGTGTTTTATGAAAATATCCATTTAACCGAAAACCTTTTGTCCTTTCTGTCCCAGGCTTTCATCATGGCGTTTACTTCCGACATGATCCCCCGTATGGTCTTCCTGTATGCCTATGGTAAAAATGCCAGCATGAGGGGCTACGTTAACAACAGCCTGTCAATATACAACATCTCTCAGATACCCAATGACAACATGCCTGAGGAGGGAGGCAACTGGTTTGATAACACGACTTCCACCTGCAGGTAATTGAGCTAAAAGAGCTTGTTGTGCATCTGGCTTTCATTTACTTTCAGTAGAGCTTTAGCCTCTGTATTCTCCCCTGAGCAATATGGAGCTTTTTATTCTTTCAACTCATTGATTTGGGTTTAAAGCCTGCCAGACGTTTGTTTTGATTTGGTTTCACAGCGTTTTTTTCTCCTGCTGCATTAGGCAATTGTTCTCACTGAAAATGGTTTGACAAATCCGCTGTACACTATGATAAACAAACAGACAGAAAATGTTAGTCACATGGTGAGTCAAATATTTTCCTCAGAGCTAGAAAGTGAGTGAATATTAGACCCAAAATTTGAGTCATACTACTCCAAATAAATAGTGGGGCTCTGTGCAATTATTTGCTAATTGCAAGCCATATTAACTTCATATTGACAGGTGCAACCTATGAACAAATATGTTTTGCTTTAGTCCAAGAAAATGTGTTTATATCTGTTGATGGAGCCATAAGTTACGTTTTTGAGTTTTTCGGCATTTATTGATATGTACTGGTACCAGCATGATTACATTAATGAAACACTATTGACTGTATAATGTTGTTTTGAACAGGTACCGTGACTACCGTTACCCTCCAGGCCATGCGAGGGAATACACTCACACCATGCAGTTTTGGCATATCCTGGCAGCCAAAATGGCCTTTATTATTATAATGGAGGTAAGACAACACAGCTTTTTCTCACTCCTTACTTGCAAAATAAATACTCCGAACTAAAGAATTATAATCTGACAGTGTGATAATTCTCCTTCTTTAGCACGTCGTCTTTGTGGTGAAGTTCTTCGTGGCGTGGATGATCCCGGACGTCCCGTCAGTTGTGAAGGCTCGGTTCAAACGAGAGCGCTACCTGATTCAAGAGTACCTGCATAACTACGAGGTGGAGAAGGTCAAAATCCAGATGAGTGCCAGTTTCATGACAGAGCAACCATCAGAAGTATCCTCAATGACAGACAAACAAGAAGTGTTGTCTGAGTGCCTGGAGCCTCCTTCCTGAAAACTCCTAACTAACCAAGCCAAGAATGGACACGTGTTAGAGTTTTCTCCTCACTGACAGCATCCATATACACAGATCCTGTCTTTGGGATAAAAATGATATAATCTTTTCTTGCTGGATGGACTCCTATATTAGGATCTGTGTAAAGGCATCAGAAATTCAAATGCAACATCTCGCTTTGCTTAAAATTAGCTACCCGAGTGGCTGCAACACTCCTATGCCATATAAAGAAAGTTTGAAAACAACAGAAGAAGGCTAAAAAGATTGTAACTGCAGCTTGTATCATTCCCTGTGTAATGGCTTCATATCCCCATGTGTCATGACTATATGTGCTAATAGCCAAGTGGGAATTGTTGAAAATTACCCTTTAAAGAGATGGCTATCATATCATTAATTAAATGTTTTGCATGTGATTTCTCTTGTGAGGAAACAAGATTAAGGGCTTTTTAGAAAAGATGTCAGTGTTAAGGAGTTTTAAAAATCTCATATCATTTAAGGGATTATGTCCTAAACATCACCTATCTTTATGTCTTAAGTGTAATAATTATTTTTAGTTTCGTTGCTGCATAATGTTTAGATCCACTGATCTATAGCTGGGCTATTAGATGTTTGAGTTAATTATGTTTATGCTCTTTCAAACTGTAAATTGGAAAACCAATTACCTCCATTATAGTGCAGTGATACTGTAACAATCAGAAGTGTGTATCATTCCAGCCTGAGTTGATAGTATAGTGAGACAGCAGCTGCAGGCTTATCTTCCAGATGTATTTCCAACTTGCTACAGGACCAATTATACGATTTTTACAAAAAGAAAAGCCTACACATAGAAAATCTCATGACAGATTTTCTCTTTTAGTACAATCAGTTTATGTGTGAAAGTTGGCCGTGTGTTGGCTTTATGGCTCCAATTGTTATACATAGATAACAAATGGCCTATATTGCTGTTTAACATTATTTGTGCCTCCACATGTTTTCGGCATAACAAACCTTCAGAGATGATCAGACAGTTGGAGAACTTGGTTTGGTACAATGTAAGTGAGCATATCAGCAAAAAGAAATGAGTTGATGACATTACTGTAGGTAACCTACTCTTTGGTTTTGCTGTAGATATAAAGAAAATATCATATATTTAAATTGGTTATTGAGCAACTAATTTATTGATATGCTTCTGCTTTGTAGTCTGAAGCTTTTATATTAAGAAGAGTAACTTAATATGCACTTTCTTTACATTTGTATTCATCAAATCATAAATGGCCATCAACCATGTTAGTTCAGTCCGTTCTTCAAGTACATTTAATGTAATACTACAAGGGACCAGATGCATAAAAAACACTCCAGAGAGATATATAACTAAACAGTATCTATTTATGAGATACAGGATCACTTCATTTATTCTTATTATTCCAGGTTTACCAGGTTTTTCTTTGTTTTATATTGAAACCTCTTTGTAACTTGACTTGCTACATGATGCAGTTGTAATTTCAGCTATCAGCTATTATATTTGACATTAAAAACCAAGTCTCATTTACTCGCATCTCAGGATCAATCATGAGCATCACTTACACAGTAAAACAGTACGCAGATATCAGATGTGTGCAGAGCGTGATCCTGCAGCATAATGTATTTCCAAACAAACAAATGCCTTAAACCTCTGTGCTTACTCGTTTTTGTATGCTTCTGTAATGCCAAAGTGTCCTATCTGAATTCAAAACCTGTTTCATGTAAGTCATCATTGCAAAGTTGCTGTTTTGTCTAATTTGATGCGCATGAATTGCTGGAAATGTTTGTCAATTATATTCTAATTTCACTGTAGCCTATTGTACAATTAATATTCACGATACATAAATAAAAAAGTAATTATAGTATGAGTTTTATTCGCACATTGCATTAATAACAACAGTAAACAGGACAACAAATGTTCTATTGGATGCTTATACCATGGAGCTTATCAGAATCAGAATACCTTTATTAGTCCCACGGAGGGGAAATGTGCGTCAATTTAAGGATCCTCACCCAAGACATAAACACATTATGCTTAAGTTTAAATTAATTTAAACCCTGTTGAGGTCGGTGGGTCTGTATTAATTTTCCTCTGACTATTAATCAGACCTACTAATTGACCTATCAAAAGCTTTTGAGTCTTTGCAAGTTTACCGCCAGGCTCGGATCCACCTGGATCGGCAAGGTCTTACCTCTACTAATCTATATATTGTTGGGTATCTAGTGGGGTGTGGCCCTACCTAAGTGTTTGTGTTTGTGGCAGTCGTGCAATCTTACCTTAAACCTTAATTATTTTAGGTTACCCCAATCCAAATGGGGGGGGGGGGGTTATTTGAAGAAATTGTCCTCACTTTTACAGGGTTTTTTACCATCTCTCGTTACATTGTGACAATCAAAAAAGTGTTACCCCCCTGCATACATATAGATACCATCAATAATTCACCAGTTTACATATTTTCCTTTTTGTTAAAACTCCCTGCATTTCTTCAGAGGAATTTCCTCAGAATGACAGTGGATCAATAAGATCTAAGGACAGATTCCCAGCTAAGAATTAAACCTAGGGAGTAATTCCCTGTAAAGAATATAACTTGGGGTGAAATCCCCTATAAAGACCCCTGTGTTAAAACTCCCTGCATGTCTTCAGAGGAATTTCCTCATGATGAAAGTGGGCAAATAAGATCTAGGGAGAGATTCCCAGTTAAGACCTTTTTTCCTCTATCAGCTACTGGTTTTTATACCAACAGAAGCCAAAGCGAGTACACACCAACATACCCATATATGTGGGGAGGTGTCATTGCTTCTGGGTGTGGGACTGGACTGGTCCAGACCTGCCTTGGAAACTAAACTAAAGCTTAAAATAATTTCCCATTGAGTCAGGGGCACCTATAGTAATAACATATAGCAGACCTTCACCCAGACACTCTTTCATGTCAGTTTAACAAACAGTGTACATTTAGTATATAAGTATAGAGCTTTATGAAATATAATGCATTTTACATTGTGGATTATACTAAATTATATTTGATTATATTAACTTTTGTTTTAATTGTATAACCCATTATGGAAACTTCCACAAACCCTAGCCACTTCGATTAAGTCAAACACAAATCTCCACTTAGTTTTACTTACAACTTACTGTTGTTTTGAGGTAATCGGTTTGCCTGCTTATTTTAGGTAAGGTAAACTAATAAGAATTGATTGTGTGCTTAAAAGAAGACTGTCTCCATCTTCACTGTAAAATCAAATCTCAGTGTTTAATAATGTTTGTCAAATTGCATGCATGCTTTCAAAGCAGTTGTAGTGTGCAAGTAAAAAATCTTCGGTTTACCTAAACGTGTTGAGATTTAAGCGGTGAGCCCAGATGAATGAAACACCCCTCCAAAGCCGCAGATGCATTATTCTGCAAAGCAGCATAGGAGATGCAAAATAAGGCAAAACATGCTTTTTGGTGAGGGTGACTTAAAGAAAAAAAAGAACCAGAATTTATATGAAAAACATGATTTAGCAAAATACCTGTATGAGAATAAAGGCAAAGATTCAGTGTGGTGTGTGACCACCAGATGGTGCCCCACACCAACAAATGAAAAAGAGACCCTGATCACCTCTCTTTTCTTTTTTACACTAAAAGCACAAGCTATATTGTATATCAAAAGATGTCATAATCGTGTTGAGTATTACTATTACTTTAATGTATGTTATATTGTCATTACCATTATTGTGGCATTTGTAGTCTTTTGCTATTCGGCTAAAATAGTGAATGCAGAAGGATATCGACATATCCTTAAAATCTCATAAAATATAAATATGTATAAGAAATTGTTCCGAAATGTAATGCATGCTTCTGTGGAAGGATGTGGTTGTCTGGGGGATAACAATTATTATGAATTATTGATAGATTCCTACGTTGAGAAGAGGAGCATGTTGGGGGGTGAGAGGTATTCACTCCTACTCATTTGGTTTCCATAGCACCGCAATAGTGAGAGCTGCAGCTTTCATATATTGGGTTAACTGAACTTGTTTTAAATACGTTTTATTAATAAAATACGAATGATAAAATAAAATTGAAATAACTAAAGGCCTTTCATATACCTCAAATCAACTAAGATGCAACATAAAGCAAAAATAAAAATGAACTATAAAACATGTCTTCTCTCTTTCCTATATTGTTTTATTAAATGACTAATACAGTAAGTTATATGTATGCATTAGCATGTAATATTGTCTCTTTGGCCTGCATGTGTGCTGAGCAGCTGGCCAGATGTTGCACGCGGAGCTGCTGTCGCTGAGCACGACGTCAGATGAACCTGCGCGCACCACAGGAGCCACGATACTGCCTCACTCCCTCTTTGATTTATTGAAGCTACTCCAAACACCTACTTCTGCTTTCTTTGAGCCTTTTTAATTTGTCTACGTATTCTCTCTCTCCTTTAAAAAAAAAAATCCGGACGAATCCATAACTGATCTACGACGCCGACTATTAATTTCTCTCATTTTTTCCTCGTGATGGCACTTGGCGCGGCTACTGTACGCCAGGCAGGAGAGGAGCTGGTGGTGGAGGAAGGCGCTCGGCTTGTTTAATTCCTCCTGTTTTTTTTCGCATTTACGGTTTCATTGTTAAAAAATAAACTCGTATTTTTGGATCGTCGCCTCCCTGGACTCACACTCATCACAACTTCGTTTGTTGTTTTCCTCGTAGCCGCTGCAGCCGGCCATCCTGCGCCTTAACATGAAGATTAAGCAGTAAAATAATATTTAAAAGAAAAAGGCCTAGACAAAGAAACTGGATATGGAGTCAGTAAAGATGAGAGCCACGGCGGGGGTGAAGGAATTTGCAGGGAAGACCCTGGGTCATATGCACAGGTAAGGGCGGGCATTTGTTCATCTCAGTGGGCGCCTTTCATTTTCCTTGCGTTTAAGAGAGATTGTTTGCATGCTTGATTTCAGCCTAACACGAGTCAAGGTGGTGTGTAGATATGCAGGTCACCCAAAACTGTTTTACAACTTATAGGGATGTAGTCACGCCTCTACAAGTGAGAAACAAATTATGCAACCAAATGTGTGTGTGCGCGCGTACGTCTGTGCACGTTCGTGTGCATGTGAATGGTGATGGCAGGGGGTTTGGGTGAACATAGATGGCACAGCGTAGATGAAAACGTGCACGCAGTCAGTGTGTCCTGGTGAATGGCCATTATCTATTAGCAGGTTAAACAGGACAAACGACACGTCCAGTCGTGTATTTCATGTATACGGCTAATGGTAAACCATGTAGCCGGATCTCATATCAATATTAAAAACCCATCACATATTTATATCGACAGGATTTATCTGGTGTTTCCAGCTGTTGCATCTGCACTATATTTAGATGATTCCCCTGTGTCCTTCAAGCATTTCAGGGGCCTCCCTGTGCTATATTATATTATTTACAGTCTGGAGCAAGCCATCATTTATTAATGATTTTCACTCTTGTTTGGATTCAATGATCCCTCAGATAAACGCATTTCTTCTACACGTATTTTCATTAGGCCTTTTTTTCACTGCAATGCATAGATCAATTGCATTTTGCAAGCATTTTAACGAGAATGTTTTACCCTGTATATTGGCACTTTTTATTTGTATCCGTTTGCAAAAAACTGATTTGTTGTATCATTTTGCATCTAGTCAATTTTGCCTACTGTGAGGCCAAAAAAGGCGACTGTCGTATTGAAAAATGGGGATTTAGAGGTAAGCCCATAGTATGCAGGCTGGCTGCTGCTCGGTCCCGTGAATGCTAATGAGTGAAAGTGAGATGATGCTGCAATGCGGTAGGCCTAGTCAGGGACATGGTTTAAGCTACAGGCGAAGTTTGTTCGTTTTTCCCCTTTATTTAAATAGAATAACGTATTTTCCTTGAAGTCGTTGCTAAGGTGTTTTTGAGTAATCTGCCCTGAACCTTACAGATGATGCTCCTTATGAAATACAGAAGGCCTCTCTCCACCAGGCTTATTTATTATGGTGAATGGAAAAACTGCCTTCTGCGTTTTCTTGACTGACAACAATACATCTCAGATAGACACACACAACACCCAATCACGTCCATAATGAAATATTCATACAAAATGGAAATAAAAAAGGGCCCTCTTTGAAAAAAAACAAAACAGTTTTACATGTTTGGGTTGCATCATGTCATATGATGAAAATATATCAGGGGAACTTCTAGACTGTCCTCACCTGGCTGTTGCAGGTTGATGGAGAGGAAACAGAAAACTGGGGAGGTGATCGAGCTGACGGAGGACGGCCGGCCCCGGGAGGCCGCGGAGAAGAAACCCCCGCTGTGTGACTGCAACTGCTGCGGTCTGCCCCGCCGATACATCATCGCCATCATGAGCGGCCTGGGCTTCTGCATCTCTTTCGGTATCCGGTGTAACCTGGGCGTGGCTATAGTGGGCATGGTCAACAACAGCACCATCCACGAGAACGGCAAGATCATCATCACAGAGGTGTGGCACCGGCAGCCTGACGTTAAAGCAACGTAGAGTGCCTCAAAACACCTGACTCTTATTTGATCAAGAAAAAACCCCAAAATGATTTCCTCCACACATGAGATAAACAATATGTAAGGCCTATTGTTTTATTATCAATAACACAATGCACTTAAATGGTCCCCCAATATGCATGGCTGATTTTTCAACATATAAGTGGATATTTGTGCGTAAGAAAACATTAAATACGCCAAAGATTTGATAACATGTTGGGCATGTTTTAAAATCTCGTCAGTGCGTCGGAGCTGATAATATTTTATGTTTCAGTCTTTGATTAGGCCTAATATGATAACATTTGAAAAGAAAGAAATGCATTTATGTATCCTGTGTGAAACCCCCTAATAATCTAT